CTTTTTCCCTCTTCCATCTCGCTTTTTCCCTCTGTGTTTTTCTTATTAGAAGCTAATATTTACATAATTTAATGATTTCGATTGGACAAATTTGAAACTCCCTGAAATTTTTTATTGGAAAAGGTTTAATCTCAATGTCATCATTTCTTTCATTGAATAGTTTATATCTTTTATATCATAAATTTCAAAGAAGAGAATGAATGCAAACCTTTCAATCCTTTTATTTTTGGAAAATTATTTTATATAATTCATAAGGGATAGCTTATTGACATTCAGAACACTTTTTGTTCAACAATAGTTCTTAGAATAAGAACTGAGCTAGCTGGTGATTCATATTATTTAACAGTTTAGTGATGGGATTGCTGTTTTGTTGATGATCACAGGCGTACACCGTCACTTTGTTCTTTATGGTTTAACCGAATTCATGCGCAAAAGGTTCCTTCTTCCCTTCCTTTAGCCTTTTCTGTTTCTGTTTTCTGTAATTTTCTTGAGATGAAAACTTTGACAGTTATTTTTCCGGTTAAATTTTCCTTGTCTTGTCACAATTGCAGTTTCAACCGTCCATTTACAGCAGAAGATGTTCTAAAGTTGCTCGAGCGGTTTTTCAACCTTGAAATGGTGGTATAAATTGTCTACTTCCATCTGTCATAGTTTCTTGAATAGTTAGCTAGCTCACTAGCTCTGCAAATCATATATGATTTTACCATCCTTTGATAGATAAGTCGAATGCACTCATAATTACTTGTAATCTTTTACCTCTTCTTTCAATCTCAGGCATACTTTTCTCCCTCTTCTTTAACTGTTATTTCATAGTGCCAATCATCATCGGGTTATCTAATTAAGGAAAGATATTGGCTCTGCCTAGAAATTTTCGGTTTTCCTTTATCTTTGATGATGGCTTGGTAATTCCTTGGATTTTGCCACTCCACCTGTTTCATTTTGTACACTGTAGACACCGAAAGAATTGTTGTTGTNACCTTAAGAGCGCTCAAACTACTGACAGCCTTTGTCTTTGTTTGTTTTGTCTTAGAAGCCAGATGATGAGGATGCAGACTTTCTGACTCACGAGGAAGAATTTTGCCTGCCACAGAGTTTTTTGCCTGAGGAAGAAAGCTGAAATAAACAATCATCTCAAAGAGAATAGTTTCGTTCTTGGGAGTTGTTTATACGTCTTCATTCTGCTGTTCTTTGATCCTTGCATGTTTTCGGCTTCCCAGCCATCGTAGTTTTATATTAGTGTTTGAAAAGCATCGGACTTTAAGATTTTAAGCTCAGCACATATGGTCATGCTCTAATTTTATTAATTACGTGTGTTTTAAGCTCAGCACATATGGTCATGTTCTTTGAATCTGATGTTTTTCAATCTGTTTTGAGCAAATTTAAATTTGCTCGAGCGAAAACAAGAAAATGTATTCTCTTGCAATTGACTCTTAACTTAAATCTCAACGTGTTATGAACCGTTGATCTTCAGTATTATTAGAGCACTTGAACTGTATGTGTTTTCATCTACAAGGCGTTGTATACATCTCTCCATTTTTGGACTTGGGTCTTCTAATTTTGTAACATTTTAAATTGTTGGCTCAAGATTTCTAATCCTTGCAGTTGAATTGGCTCGTCCTGAATTTCATTTACTTGATTAGCTATAAAATAAAGAAAACCTTTTTAAATATCGACTTTAGAGAAGCCAATACAAAGTGGGTACAAGAAGAGATTAAAATGGAAATTGAAAAGATCTGGACAAAAAGTTTCAAGGCAGATCTAATATGAAAACATACAATCTTATTCTTCTATAAAAATTGATCTACCAACATGAGCATTCTTCATTCTACAAAGCTGGAGTAACGAGATCTCCTGCAACAACATTTTCTTTGCGTGATGGAACTTTAGCTCCAAACATTAGTTCTGCGGAAACAAACACAATTCTCCACAATCTCTACTAGGCCAATTTTGTGGGCCGAGAACTTGTTATACTCATGTGCAGAAAATTCATCCTTCGTTAATAGAGCTCAAACAAAATCACTGACCTCAAACTCTAATTGTCGCCGATGAGCATCCTCCTGCTTGTAGGACGCGGTAGTTCACCCCAAGTTTGCGCGAGCCGCCTTATGAATCTGACGCAAGTCTGTCATGAACTCCTCTGCCCGCTTCTCCTTGCGAACGGGCGTCGACAAGACCACCAAGTTCGCCAGTCCACTTGGTTGCACTAAATAAATAACCTGGAAATGACAAAATCGCATCGCCCGACTAACGACCGAGTTATGAGCAAACTCGGCCTGACTAAGCTGAAGATCCCAACTAGGCAAGTTGTCGCCGACCAAGCAACGCAGCAAGTTGCAGAGGGACGGGTTGATAACCTCACTGATGATGATCATACGTATTTTGCAGGGGCATTATAGACATTATACAAAGTAAAAGACACATTAGACATAAAAAGTAAACAAGTGATATAAACAATCCGGGTAGGTATGGAGGTCTAGAAAATGAAGGTAAACAAATTATAGGAACAATAACTTTTTAAGATACATGATAAAATTAATAGTCGTATCATGTCCATCAATTTAAACGAGGCCTAAAGAAAAAAGCTCAAGGGTATTTTCTTTAAACTACGATCCATGAATCATGGATAAGTACAATAAACGCTCTTGATGTTGGTATAACTACATGAAAGATCTAATGTTTGAACACTACAAATTATCACCTTCAAGTTTGTAATTACCTACAATTACTCTCTCTTTATAGTTCATCTTTGCATGATGAAAACTAAGGTATATGTGATGATAAAAGAAACTTAATTATTTATTTATATGTATTGGACAACACATAAACAATTATTAAAATTTCGATGGAGTACAAAATTTGTGCTTATACTAAAAATAATGTAAGTTAATGTAAATTTGCAGAAATAAATGTAAGTCCAATTATTTGTCACAGACTTGTCGACGAACACAATAAAAGTTAAAAAAAAATTATATTACGAATTTTCAAAATATTCTCTCTGAATACCTTTTTACTATGGAAAACTTTTTTTTTTCGGTAAATGTAAATATAGTTATTTAGGAAATAGACATGTTGGAAACTCGTTTCTTTTGACATATGAACCTTTGTATTACACACGCTTTGATAATTTTGAGGAAAAAACCAGCAGGGATCAATACTTTAGGATGTGATTGTATATAAAAGAATCCAATAAAAAATAATCAATTTTAACAATTCACTTTATTTTTTAACCTAAAATTAGCTCAATTCCAATCCTTCTCGATCTTATCAATATAATTAAATAATATCAATTTAATCCTTACAAATCACACAAACTTTCATTCACTATTTATCAACTCACATAATTTTAACTACACATCACTTCCAATCACATATCTCTTATTTTTACATCAAATTAACTTAAATCATTTTATTAAAATATTATTTTAATGAAAACATAAAATTTCACTCAAGCGTAATCTAACCATTTTTTTTTTTCAAAATTAACTACGATTAACTAAAACCAACAATCAAAACCAAAATATTCAATGACAAATCTATATCTTGTCACCCCCTTAGAAGGCATCATTCGAGAATCCATGTATAGCAAATTCGACCCGGTAAGGTAAATTTTACAGTTGAGTCGCACAAAACTCACGAACACACACCACATTGGTGTTGAAATTTTCCCCATGTGCAAGGCAAAAGCAAAAAAGAACTTGAAAAATCGTGGCTTGCAGCAATCACTTTAGAATGGAAGTCCTTTCAATACAAATTAACAAATAAAAAAAGGTTCTGAATGAAAAATGGAATAATGAATGGCTACAAAAAAGAAGAGGGAAAAATCTTCTTTTCCTTGGAACCGTTACTACTGCACCAAACATTACTCTTTTATCTACAGCGCAAAAATCTTCTGATCCCATCTTTTCGAGTACATAAATATATTCCTTTTCCCCATAAAACAGAAAAATCCAAACTAAATTTGGGAAAACCTCATTGATGCATCCTCGTTCATGCAGCTATACCACAATATGCTCTCATGTGATTGCTCAGTGTGTCAATTTGTACACAGTATACGATGGTTTGGTCTTTTCAATAGTCAAATGACGTGCAAAAGTTTACCAGAGTTAAAAAAAAAAAAAAAAAAAAAANAAAAAAAAAAAAAAAAAAAAATAGAGGAGTGGAAATGTATCTCAAGAGTGGAAACTCATTTTCTCACGAATGGTTTTTGGCACACGAGCAAACGCTGGTCACTGCCATTCTGAAGATCGATCATCCGGGCTTCCCATCTGAGCTGGGTAACGAGGGTACGTGCAATTTCTATGGGACCAACCTTATCAGATATAATAACCCATCCCTGTTAACAAGCCATTCTCAAACGCATCAATTCTGTATCAAGGTTGCAGATAGGAAGTTTTCATTTAAAGAGATGTTAAGCCAAATATTATAACAAAAGGAGAACTTTGAATCGTCTTCAGATTATATACAACCTGTTACAAAAAGCCACTTTAAGGTACAGAGACAAAGTCAAAACTTGTAAGTGACCAAATCTAACTTTTTCTTCCTTTCTGTTTATTGTTATAAATTAGAGCAGTTTCGCAGTTTATTCCAATTTATAATTAACATCTAAAGCACATATGAATAACACAGGGGGTGATTGTTTATCAATCCTATTAAAAAAGAACCAATCAAAACTCAAATCCAACTCAACTTTAACCCAACTCCACTATCTCCATTATTATCAACATAATTAAATAATATCAACCAATCATTCTTACACATCACATCAACTTTAATTCACTATTCATCCTCTCACATAATTTAACTAATTATCACTTTCAATCATTTTTCTCCTACTTTTACATCATAACTACTTTAATTATTTTATTTTAAATATTATTTCAATATATCCACTAACAACTAACCACCCTTTTTTCAAAATTAACTATGGTTAAAAAAATCAATTAAAAGCTAGTTGAATTCATAAACAATCACCCCCACAGTTTCTTAAACATTACCTCCGGACGAAGAATACGGTCCATCTCAAAAATCAAATCAATGATATTGCATTTTTCTGAAGCAATGTGTGTTAGAAGTCCCTTTGCGTGAAGCATGTCGTATGTCCGAGGGTATGTAGGGAAAGGTTCACACCTGTGTTGAGGTAAGGACATGTTAAATCAAAAGAAATGCAGAATGCGAAATATGAGGATAAAATGTTCAATTATGGAGCTAGAGAACAGGCATTGGATTTAGCATTTCAGATATAATGAAATGGTGTTATGACCAATAAAAATCAATCGTATTAACCGCTGTCAAATCCGGATAGTTTAATTGACAGTACTTTCAGGAAGCAAATTACTACTGATTTTAAACTTGAAGTGAAGTTAAAATTCATCGAAATTGGAAGGTGAATGAAGAATTTTAAGCAAACTGGTGTATAATACACCAAAATTTGAAGCACTAACATCAAAGGGTACAAAAAAAACTTCTTTTTTTTTTTGTTAATAATTTCATACCACATAATCCACAAACAACGACCAGCACAGTTAGATATTGTTTTTTCTGTTTTATACCATGTGCACATAGTGCTGCACATTCAGTTGTAGCAGACCCTTAAAAAAGAAAAACAAATTAAAAAATACTCACACCATGACTGCATTAAAAAAGTCAAGTCCTGTTCGACCGGCCAAGAAGAAGCATCTTACCAGTTATGCAAGACGCCTGCAAAGCCTTGATCAAGAATGACCGGAAGGGTATTATGTTGACCTACGGGCACAACATTCATCACCCATGCCGACTTTCTAGCTTCCAGTAGGGCAGCATTTAAACCTCCATAATGTGCATTCATGTCCATCACATTTCGAACCATATTGTATGGAGGCATTGGATCTTCATCACCAGGCCTCTTTGGATGGTCGGAGAAGATCAAAGGAGAAAGCAACGACCAATAATTTCGCAGAGAAGATCTCCAGAACTCCAGGTCTTCAGCGAAATCTTCAGAGTTGATTCCTGTATTCAAATTGAATATAACTAACCCTTTTGCAAAGATAATATGTCAAGGTTTATTCCCATGTTGAGATGTGTCCAAGACAACCCAATATAGCAATGCAGAGTCATACAGCTTTCAACTATTACAACATACCATGGACTGCAAGCTCAGCAGAGTTCAAAGAACCAGAAGATCTATTCTGAATTGGGATCCAACGGCTGCTGGTAATCCCACTTATGCACTGAGCGAGCGGTTTGTAGTACGATTGGAAATCTTCACCATTACAAAGGGGGAAAGTGCCGTGCTTACTAGAATAACAAACATTGGCAGGCATATTAGGGGAGTATAATGGTTTTAAGTATGTTAGCAAGGGACAAATTACATTTGACAGGGAAGGTTATGAAAAATGAAACACAAAAGAAGAATATAGCAAGGGTGGGATTGGGAGGGAAAAAGAACAATCAGAGAATGAGTGACTAATCTCACCTAGAAATACACTGGGCATCTCTGGTTTTCTGCCAGATTAAAGTCTCCTCTTGCTGTCCCACAAGGTTCCAACAAAGTTTTTGGGGGTATTCTCCCATAGGAGTTGAAGTGCTTCCATGCTCCCTACGTTTAGGTGAGGTTACAACAAAGTACCCTCCGGGTTTGAGTACTCTGTCAACTTCAATAAGAAACATCCCATCTGAAAGAAAAATGAATCACTGAGTCCACCCATAATTTCCTGCCGTTAAAACTAACTCAAAGACTAGAGCATACTATACCCTTTCCTAGTCACCATGACCTCCATAATCAAATAAAATAATAAGTGGAAGACAAGATAAAGAAAGAAAGAATGTATAGATAGATTAAGATAATGCACCCCTACTGACAAATTTGGGGCTTCAGCTATCTTAGTAAGCGTAGAATAATTAACTGTATTCTTTACTTGGATACATTTGTCACATATAAGTCTTATCACAAGGATTGAATATTTGGATGCACATTAAAACAAGAGGATCTCCTTATACCTTCAGCCTAGTGGCCCGAAGCTTCACTAGAGTTATTGTGGAATATTCATAAATTAAATACAAAATAAGACTGCGAGGACAGAGAAATCATGCGATTAGATTTGTTCAAACAAAGGGTTTACAATGTTCTAGCTGAAAAGGACAAAAGATTGATATTAGGACACAATAAATAGCGTATACATCTATATCTGACAATTTCATCATTTTAAATACAAGAAACAAAGTAAGGTCATGTAAACAACACACACCCATCCATAATAAGAAAACCCAGGCATCAAGAAAATCACAACACAAAGAGGAATAAAAAAATCAAACACCAACAAATGGAAGTACCTTTGTCATCCCAGACAATACCGCACTGAGTGCAGTGAACCATGTCATATGATAAGGAAGGAAAGGGTAGTTGCTTTGAGATGAAGCTACCAATGATTGCTGGGAGACCTCTCTCAAGAGCAAGCTGTACTTGGCTACCAGTTGTTTCATATGATGCCACGCAAAGAGTCATCAGCTTAAGTGAAAGCAAATGAGCGCCGAAGCTACCAAACCCACAGCCAATATCTAAAACACTGCGCACCTGTAATTCAGCAGAAAAAGAAAAGCTAAGTACCGGAGAATCAAATCATAAGTAATGAATTCAAACGTTCAAAGATGTATATACATGAGTTCCGAGTGTGAAACAGACTTAAACACCAATCGGCTGTATAAATTCTAATCTGAATCATTAAAAAACTCAATTTGAATGTTAGGAAAAAGGATAATATTAAAGCTATGCGTGGCAAAAATACTTACACCAGCTTCGCGAAATTCGGCATCACTTCCCAATCCTATCATCTCAGCGATCTGATGAGAATAATCTCTGACACCATCAACAATCATCTCATCATCGTCTGAGTGAAATGAAATTTGATTCTCTTCCAGCAACATGAGCCTATAAAAGTTGAAACCTAACAGGTTAATTTTTATCCTTCACAAAGGTGTTCAGCAGCGAATTCCGTAACAGCATAACCGACAGGCAGTCACCTATATCTGAAAATCTGAATCTAGATATTACCCAATTAAAATCAAGACTGACTTACCTTTTCGTCATGCTTCCAGATGAAAGGAATTGATCTTTGCTCAATTTCACATTTCCACTCCAAATGACATCCCTGCCACTTGGCCAAGTCAAAGGAATCTTATACTCTTTCGGGGGACGAACCAAACAATACTGTCGATCTTGTGATAATTCGCAATGACGATCATACTCCTCCCCATCTTTAAAACCAGCTAGAAGATTGGCAGAAACATTGTAGCAAGGAACATAATTCTCTCTCTCTTTAGCACATAGATCAAAATCCTTCGAAGGATTGGCCCCTAGTTTTTTCAACTCCAAATAATCATTTACAGTTTGGTCTTTCAACTTTCTATAGTTAGAATAAAGGTTGGGTCTCGTGGAATCAGTAATAGAATCAAAGGCACTAGAAGAAGAAGATCCCAACAACGTGATAAGAACTAAAACACTAACAAGACATACAAGCACCCAGTTGAGAGGCGGTCTAGGGCCAAATACCAATAATAACTTATTGTGCCAAAAGCTTCTCATGTTCCCAAAATTAAATGTCTCAGAAAACACCAGTTTGCCCCGGGCTATTGCCCCAACATCAATCTCCAACAACTTGAAAAACTGTGAACAATCATCATTCAGTATCTGTCTCCTCAATATGCTTAAAACCTCCTAACCATTTCAGCTGTCATTAAAAAGAGAAAAAACGGTAAACCCCCAAACAAGCACCTCATCAGCTATATCACGTAATTACTCAGTCAAAGCCCAGGCTTGCGGCACGTGGATCCGATCTAAAGCTACAGCGACCGAATTCAGATCACATAAACCTCCCCTTAAAGCCTACTCACGCTTTTAATGCAATAACTGCCTTGCTGCCAAATTAACCACCAAAAATTGTCAATGGTACGAATGCTAAATCCAATCAACACAAAACGCTCCACTCAGACTACGCACCCCCGCCAAACACGACAAACCAGAGCCTCAGAGTTATGAACAACAACCTGCATTAACGCCACCAATCGAGAAAAACAACAAAACGACGTCACAACGCGAAATGCAAATCACGGATACCACAAACAGAGCGTGAATCTTAAATTCAGATCAGATCCACACAGCGGATAACAACAGAATCAGCATTATCAATTTATCACGAAATGAACGACCATAAAAGAGAGAATGTCCAAATTAATTAGGTTTCTTTGTTTTTTTTTTGTGTGTGTGTGTACACACGCGTGTGTCCAGCTCACCGGTGGTTGAACCGCGTCGGATACAGAACAGAATATGAGGTGTCCGGAGGTTAAGCAGCGGAGGTTGGATCTGCCATTGACGTCTAGAGAGAGAAAGTTCCTTGGCAGCTTTTGCGAGAGCGAAGGTTCTCTCTATAATTGGAAAAAATGATTAGATTAATGAGATGGGGTTTTATAATATTTATATTTCAAAATAATATTAAATCATACTAGTGTATTTGATTGTTTATTGATATTAGTTGATCAGCATATTCTAATCTGCATAGGCTCGCAAATTTAGATAGGGNAAAAAAACAGCACCAAAAAACAATTAAAACGTAATTTTTATTCGTTAGGAATAATCAATTACATTGTTACCCACCAATTTATGGTTTCTTACACTTCACCCACAAGAAAGAAATCTTCCCACCGGAAAAAGGTATATTTATTTATTTTATATGATCTGATGATTGCTTTTTTGCTTAATCCACACCCTATGTTGAAATTAGCATTGGCTAATTAATGAAATATTCTACGGTTATCTAGTGAGCCATTGTAAATAAGTCAATTCAGTATTAACTCGCGCATAGCATGTGCGATGCACGGGATGATATATTTTCCTGAAATGTTTAACGTGTGAAATATTAAAAATAATATAATTTATATATATGTAATAAAAATAAATGGATTGCAAAGAAGGAAAAAAAATATAAATTATTGAACACTTTCTTTGTGAAGTAAAATTTGTGAAGGTTTGGTATATTTGATTATGAATAGAAAAGTATGAAATACTATCTGCGGACCGTTGAGATAGATGAGAAGATTTACTTAGAATATATAGAATAAATATTGAGATAATGATTTACCTTTTACCTAGTATAGATAAAATAAATATTGACATGATGTGGGAAAATTATGACGAATTATGACATAAATTCGTTTAGAAAATATTCAAAAATTTGATTTATTTTTTATTTTTTAAATCCTTACAGTAATTCGTACGCTCCTTTTCATACGCTTAATTTATCAATTTTACACATACAAATCAAAATTAATGCAACTCGAAATATTATATAACAAATAAAATGAGATTTTTATCTAACATTTAGTATATTGCCGGAAATTTTTTTATAAATCTTATTCTCTTTTTATGCACATAGATATTAAAGAATGAGTAAAAAAAATATCTAAATATGTTTAAAAGTATCTAATATTATATGTGTTAACAATGTTACAACGAAAAGACATTAAGAATACGCAGACTATTATATAACATATGTGAAAGTATTAAAATATTTTATATTATTATTGAAAAATGTGAAATTACCTCAATTTTGTCTAGACTATTTTATAAGAAAAATATATATACTTAAAGTTAGCACACACACACACATATATATATCCTTAAAATTTGCCCAACTAACATGTTTAAAAGTATATAAAATTTTATATATAAAACACGTTTAAAGTTTACATATTTTACAAAAATTAGACTGCTCTCAGTTTATATAAAGTTTGTTGCTCTCATATTCGGATAACGTATTATGCATTTAATGAAAGCACCCTACTATACAAATTTATAAATATTAATTAAAATAATTTTCTAAATTATATAAAATTGAAATAACAAAGGTAAATATTACCTGTTCATCGTGAAAATGCGTTACAGCTCTCCCGTTCGTGATGGGTTTCAATAATGCGGACCGCTCTCAGACACAAAAAAGGTTTGTTATAAATATTAATTAAAATAATTTTCTAAATTATATAAAATTGAAATAACAAAGGTAAATATTACCTGTTCATCATGAAAATGCGTTACAGCTCTCCCATTCGTTATGGGTTTGAATAATGCGGACTGCTCGTGATGCTCGTGATGGGTTTCAATAATGCGGACTGCTCTCAGACGCAAAAAAGGTTTGTTATAAATATTAATTAAAATAATTTTCTAAATTATATAAAATTGAAATAACAAAGGTAAATATTACATGTTCATCATGAAAATGCCTCCCGTTCGTGATGGGTTTCAATAATGCGGACTGCTCTCTCCCGTTCGTGATGGGTTTCAATAATGCGGACTACTATCAGACGCAAAAAATGTTTGTTATAAATATTAATTAAAATAATTTTCTAAATTATATAAAATTGAAATAACAAAGGTAAATATTACCTGTTCATCATGAAAATGCGTTATAGCTCTTCCGTTCGTGATAGGTTTCAATAATGCGGACGGCTCTCAGATGCAAAAAAAGGTTTGTTTCTTTTGTTAACGTATTATATATCAAGTGTACCCCAGCCTGGAAGCATTATATTGTATATGCGATGAAAAATTATTCTCTGTATTTTTTTTTTCTCTGAATTCGTGAATGATGAGTTGTAATGGTGGTAGTGAATATCCTTTTATACAATTTCTTATTAACAAAAGTGATAAGATAATTATGGATTGTATTTTGATAGATTTTAAATACCATGATTTTTGGGATGCAACAACAAAATATGCAATCACATGTATATATCTTATCACGTTAAAGGTATATCCATCCCTAAAAAAGGGGAAATATATAATGCCTTAATTAACGGAATTTGTGTATTTTCGTAACAGATTTGCTTAATTAATGGGATCTGACGGGAATACCAATTACATAATCCTATTCACGATTTTTTTTTTTTCAAAATTCGATTGAGATTACATAAATAGAAAGTCAAAAGTCAACTCAATTTATTTTAAGTTTCTAAAAATGATTTTTACATCAACCTTTTTAGATATATATAGATTACGAAAAATACTACAGTTCCGTTATGAAATCATTCCGTTGAGATTTGTAACCGTTAAATGCAGGGACGAATCCAGAAATTAAGAGTAGACTAAGTTAAAATTTTAAGAACTTATTTTCATAAAGATTACATAATATTTGTCTTCAAATATTTAATGAAGCTGTGCTCGACGAGCTTTTAGAAAAAATTAATTATGCTTATTTTGCACCGTATTTGATGTGCTTTCACTAGTTTGACGTCGATCAAGTTTCTTAAAGAACAATGATATCAATAGATTTTTTCCTTTCTTGGCAGAAAGTTGGTGCTCCATGTGAATTTTTAAAAATTCCACAATACAAATAAATAGATTTTTCATATGACATAGTCATTACCAAAATAAAATGTATACACATCATAAATTTATATTCAATTATGATATACAACAAGCACAATAGAGGATAAAAAATTAAAAAATACATACACACAATTACTAATTCATACAAATTCAACAAAACAAGAATTGCAACCAAATAATATTAGAAATTACTATAGCTCAACTAAAATTAGAAGATAGATAAAGATAATTAGACAAATGAAATAAATATCTAATAGGGGGTTTAAAATAACTTACTATTCAATAAGAAATTAAACCGTCTTCTTGAAAGTAGTCACTTTCTTGTTGAGTAGTATTTTTTTTTTTTTTAGGGTTCTTCTAAATCCATTGTTCTGGTGTTCAGAGGAGGGGCATGGCCTGGGCTTCAGCCCAGCCAGGGCCTAATAAAGATTCGTCCTTGGTTAGATGCACATGCTACACTAATCTACATATGCATCTTATGGTTCTATAACGGGATTGTAGCCTTACTCATTAATTACACATATAATTTTGGTTAGGGGAACAGATAATTTGAAGAATGCTCGGATCTTGTTGGACAAAAGTTTTTGTGTTTAGTGATTGAGCCGATCTCGATCAAAATATTGGGTAAGCTTCTTAATCGAACTAACATGAGCCTATTCACAAATGTTAGATAATGCTTATGAATATTAATTTAATATATTTTTTATTTATATACTTATGTATGATATTTTTTTATAAAAAATTATAAAGTATAAGTTTTTTTTCCAATTTTAGAGGTCGAACAAATTGATCTCATCAAATAGTTTAATACATTTATTTATCAGTTATTCATAAACGAACGAACTCAAATTTTGTAATTAACTAAACGAGTTTAAACATAAATTTTTTACTGAAATAATAAATAAACAAGCACAACCACGTGTAGTGCCCCTAGTGTACAACTGCAACATGGATTTAGATTTTAAATAAGCTACGCTAGGAGGTTAAGCTCTTTAATTAGAAATCTAGAATGAATGTTGTTGACAACCGACCTGATTAGTCCATTCAGAGGACGCCACGTTGGAGATCTATTATAAGACCCGACTGAGTATCAAAGACTAAGAAGAAAGACCGAATTAGTAGAACTTGGCGTGAACCAGAAGGAGAACTGACCTCTTCAATAGGACGAGGACCGACTTCCATAAAGAACCAAGATCATGACAGGATAAGGGACAGATGGAACGTCTGTCAATCAGCCGCCCATACCTTCATCATTACTTGTGGAACCACCTACAGACTAGCTATTCCTAGACCGTTAAATCGCATTTAATGTCGCCGAATGAATCTCGAAGAACAAGCCTAGAATTACTATAAATAGCAGCATTTATTTTGTACGAGGATTTTTTTTAGACACATTAAATTCACACATAAAATAGCTCGGTTCCACATATAACCGACTCCTTGTACAACTTTTTACTCGTTTAATCCCCGCGATTATAGTTATTAAATTTCATATACCAACAAATGCTAATTAGTTTTATCTTATACTAGGAATCCATCCTTTGAGAATTATTTATAAAAAAATAATTTAAACTTTTATATAAAGATAAAAACTAAGATAAAAATTATTAAACAATATGTATTACATTTATAATTGATCAGTTTTGCTATGGAGTCATCGGATGACTCGAAGCCATCTACACTTATTCACCAATAGTGTATTGACAAGTGTTCTGCAATAAATACAATTTGGACATGTGTTAATAAATTAAGTGGTGACTGACTGCATAAGAAAAACATCGGATGGCTCCATAGATGTGAAATTTGTAATATGTTAAATGGTTGTATGAATATAGTTAATAATATAATTATATTTTTATATAATTTGATCATTTTAATAATAGTTATTACAGTATTTGTTGTTTATTGCATACTTTTAATTCCATAATTTCTTCCAAACTTTACGTTTCATAATTCCTTATTAACAACAATAACAGAAGTACCAACATATAAAATCTATATATATATATAATTACTAGCTAATAGAATTTAATAAAACCTATTTAATTTTACCTATGTGGCAATTTAACAATTTTCCCTCCAAAAACCGTTACATTTTGATGTATTTAATCTTTTATTTAATCATTAAATAATTAATACTCATCACTTCAAAATTACAAAAATCATTTTAAACTTTTGATTAATGACAGTTGACCATATAATGTGTTGACCGTATAATGTGATTAGATGTTATTATTGTTGTTACATTTAATTATTTTTTTTGAAAATAAAAAATATATTTGAAATTCTTAAATAAATAATAAATAATTCACAAATAAAAGACGTACCAAAATATACATTACATCCAATCAGATAAACGTAATTTAAAAAAAAAAATATTCCAACTCTTTTAATCGTAAATTTGGTCTGCAAAAAAGTGAAAGAAAAATAATTAATCATTATATGTACAGACTCACAATAATTTATTTATATCTGTGCAAATGCACAGGTCGAATACTAGTATCTCTCATCTTTATCCGATAAATTAACAATTTATTTCCGTAAATGAGATCTAGTATCATAGGAACTAGTACGTAGCCCGTGCGATGCACGGGATGTAAAATTTGGAAGAATAATATAACCTCACGTGCATTAGGATCGAAATTGAAATCATTAAAATACATAGGAACATTGTTGAATCATAAAAAGTTCGGTAACAATCATATATTATTAAAAATCTCCTTGTACACAACATTATGAGTTTGATTATTTGGTAACTCCTCATTAGCACAAACTAATATTTTTAAAAGAGACAAATCCTAAAAATCAAACTAATATTTTAGGATTGGTGAACAAACTAATATTTTAGGATTTCTAGGATTTGTCTCTTTTTGGTGAACAAACTAATATTTTAGGATTGGTTATATGAATAACGCTACCTGTTTTTTGTGTTCTTTTCATTCATTTTCATTCAAACAATCCGATGACTTGTATAATGAAATCCGAATCTTAAGCCGAAATACTTAAAAAAGAGTTTTTAAAAATTGAAAAGTCAAGGCAATCAGTTCAGATTAATTAAAGGTCAAAGAATATCCGCTCCTTGAAATAAAGACGTGTGCTATCATTAACCAAATATCCGGTTATTGATATAGAGTGATTACCAATAAATAAAACGCGATAAGGACGCTTCATGGAAATATCAATGGGATAAGGTCATAACAAATCGCTATACATTTTAACGATAAAAGGTCAGATGGAATGATTTATGATAATTATGTCGTAATTAATGAATTAATGAGAAGTGTGAAAATGACATAATTAATGAGAAGTGTGAAAATGACATAATTAATGAGAAGTGTGAAAATGACAAAAACTTACCGGTTTTAAAAATATTTAATGCAAATCCGACATTGACCATAATTTGACCTACTATTTTGAATAAATGTTAATTCTTATTATATAAGTATAGATTACGATATAAGTTATAACCAAGAAACATAAATGTCATATGCAATATCCATAACATGGTCCATACCTATCAATAAAAATGTCAACCAAATTGTAAGATTCACCACATTCATTTCCATTAAAATGCGGTGCCCTAGGCTATGAGTTCTGGTTTGACCGTTTCACAAAAATGCTGAATTTTTGGGGCAATTATTTCTTTGGCATTGGCAACTAATTTCAAAATTTAAATTCTGTTTTTGACTTTTGCCTTGCACGTGGTAGCGACATAGTAATATTTCTTAGGGCCTGAATTTTTTATATGATGACTTCATATATTTGTTTTATTTAAATCCTTAATTTGTGCCCTTTTGGTAATATTTGTTGAAGTAGGGTGCCATAGGTCAATTTTTAAATCCTTAATTTGTGCTTTAACTGTTTTAAATTTAATTTATTTTTAACCACTTTAAATTAAGTAAGCTTCTAGTTATGATTTTGCTTCTCCGAATCATTTATCTCAATAACTTGAATTCAACAAAAAGTTTAAATATAGAGCAATAGCTATATGTATTTCAGTAATTAGTTAAATGATCCATTTAACTGTACGACCTATATTTGAGAGGGCCCAGCGGCCCCAGCTACGAATTTCACCCAACTATCTGTGAATTTTAAACTTTTTTGTCCGTTACATTAAGTTGTCTGTTGTACAACGGAAACTCAAAATATGCATAATAATAATTGATATAAAAAAAATAAAAAAAATTGACAAAATACA